GCCTTTTAATAGGCTGGGGAGCCAACCCAGCATTCCTTCTAAGACTTACCTTTCTTTCAGCGAGGTCAGAAGACATCCCAACTAAAGAAAAGCTTCAGAACAGCCTAGGGAGCTTTTGTACAATAAGGCCCCATTCAGACCTACCAAATTAGAATGGGAGTTAGGGAGATAGGAATCTATGGTATACAAGCGCCTCAGGTTTCCAATTATCAATCCAGCTCGATAATTGGAAAGCCATTGGTTGATGGATGGATCATGCTGGGCCTCAATTTCCTTATCTGTATAATGGCACTATATTCATTCCTCAGGGTGTAAGTAGATATAATACATTTCAAAAGCTTCTTTGAATGGCTGCACAATACAATGTATTATTAGAATTTCCATTTCAAAAAGTAGCTTCATTTGCAAAAAGACTCCCCACTGAGTTTTAAATTCTTCCTCCTTCGACTAGCACAATGAAAATCATAGATGAAGCCCTGGGCTGTCAACAGCTTTCGTAGCCCTCCAAGTAAACCAGGTGCACTTATAACCTTGCTATTTTACCAAGTTATTTTTCAACTAAAAAAGCAACAGAAATCCTGGGAACACTTTTGCTGGCTTCATTGTCCCACCTCCTACTACCACTCCACCCTCCCCCCACCACGCTGACCCACTGGTGGCTCCTGCCACCTCCACTCCACAGCCCAAGAAGTTTCCAGTAAGCTGCAGAGACGTCCCAAGCATGAGCCGTGCAGGCAAGCTGGCTAGCCTTCAGGGGTTCCCATCCTAAATTCCGGGTTTCCTAGAATCACACTCCCACCCTAAGATCTGGTTAAACTCCTCAAACTCGACTGGGGCGACTTGCCAGACTGAGGCCCTGGGAACTGGTGCGCAGGACAGAAAACGCCTGAACAGGGAGGGGCAGGTGGCCAGGCGTGAGTGCTCATTGACTTTAAATTGCAGGCTGCAGCAGGTCCCACGGGAATGGAGCAGAGCCTGAGAAGAGGCAGCATCTGCATGGTCAGGACTCTGGCCAGAGACTAGGTTGGCCTGGTTATCAACTCCAAGAACCCCGGTCACCTGGGACATGGCACTAACCCACTCCTGCCCGGAGTTCATTCATTCTCCCCACCAGGGTTGTCTTGATACAGATTCCATGTTGTACCTTGTGTCTATGTGAGCAATGCTCCCTGGAGCACAATTCCCCAGAGACATGTAAATGCGCAGACTCTAGTGGGAATGATGCCCTCTAGAGTTGTGGAAAGGGGCAGCCTTACTCCTTCCAACAAAGGAATATAATCTTCAAAAGTATTTTGAGGAGAGTGACTGCTTGTTGGGTTTGGGGTTCTCCTTTGGGATGACAAAGATGTTTTAGAATTAGAGGTGGTTAGTTGTACAACATTGTGAATATACTTAAGTGCCATTGAACTGTTCACTTTTAAATGGTTAGTTTTATATGTGAATTTCATCTCAATAAAAGAAATCTGTAAAGTATTATGAGGCATTTGAAGGTAAAATACTAATTGCTTTAAAAGATTCCCCACAACAAATCAGCCATCAGCATATCACCTCTCTCCCAAGCTTCTTGGAGTTGCTGACAATATTTCAACTAGAAGAATAAGGTTACCTTAGAACAGCAGTTCCCAACATTTCTGGCACCAGGGACCAGTACTCCTATGAGAATCTAATGCTCAATGATCTGGGGTGGAGCTGGGGCAGTGATGCTAGCGCTGGGGAGCGCCTGCAAACACAGATGAAGCTTTGCTCACTTGTCGGCTGCTCATGTCCTGCTGTGTAGCCAGGCACCTAACAGGCCACTGGACTGGTATTGGTCTTTAGCCCGGGGATTGGGAAGCCCTGCCTTAGAAGCCCCACTCCCAGACCTGAGCTGAGGAGGAAGGGAAATATTCAGATATATTCAAGGTTCTTGGCAGCACTTGGAAGAAAGGGGATATAGAAAGGTAGCATCAAGGTCTTCTGAAGGTCCACCTAGATGCTAAGAATCCAAAAGTAGGTCTTCAACTGTGAGAAAATCCACTTTCTTGCTTTATCTAGCCATCCATTTATCCATTCACTCATTTATTCACCCAAGAAATATTTACTGAGCTTCTACTATGAGCTGGCATGGGAAGTTAAGAAGAATAGACCACCACCTTCAGGAAGCTCATAGTCCGGTGGGAAGATGAAAGTGAAAACAATTATTAATAGAGATATGTACAGGTGTAAGGGTGACCTGGGGCGGGGGGCACCTGAGGGATGGAAGGTTGAGGTAGGGGCACTGGGGAAAGCTTTCCTGGAAGAAAGAATGCTGGAGCTGTGTCTCCAAGGCTGCTGGTGGGAACATGTCCAGGTAAGCCTGACCTGCAGCCAGCCTAGGCCCAAGGGGAGAAGGACGGGAAGAGAAGCATACCAAATGCAAGGTTTATAGGATCTTTGACGGCTCTGAAAAGGCCAGGCTTAGAGGCCAGGAGATGGAGCTACCACCTCCCAGGAGTGGCACATTTCGGGGGTTTCCCCCACCCCATCTGCTTCAATGTAGGGCAGGGTGTGTGAGTTGGTAACAAAGTCTTTCCATCTCCAGCAAGGTGGAAGGGATCCTACCCTTAAACTCACAGGATGAACCAAGACCCGTGGCCCTGGTTCCTTGGAGGGACTAACAGTTAATTCCCCAGGTCCAACAATTCTCCTAGCAGACAATGATATGGGGCTTTGCCCATCCTTCACAGGGGTGAAGAGTGACACTGGGGAAGCCATTTGGAGCTCTCTCCCACTCCTCCTTGCCAGGCCTCAGCCAGGCCTCCTTGCAGGCGATTTTTTACCCTGTACCTTACTCTCTTCTACTCTGGGAAAATGCTCCAGGGTGAAGACTGCCCACCCTTTGTTCAACACTTTTTAAAAACACAATGAGAGAACAACATTAATAGATTTCTTTTGAAAAGAAACAAAATTACTTAGTGCCCATTATCACAGTCCTTCCCATTTGGGAAAAGCTGTTTAACAGAATGTGACAGTGAATGAAAAAGGTGCTTATAGCACACTGCTTCCATGATGGTGTTTATTGAACAAATGAATGATTGCTAGTAAACTGACCTTACCAAACTAGCTCTAGATTCTTTTGCTTATTAAGATCCATTTTAAAAAATTTTTTTAGTGTTCCAATTTTCTAAAATATATATATATTTTTTTCCTGAGAGAGACAGAGAGGAGAAAAAGAAAATACCCTAAGTATCTCCTGCTGTCTCAGGTGTCCCCAGCCCAGTCAGCCTGGTGAGAGGAGTGAATGGTCCTCTGATGGAGTAATTCTCTGATATTCTCTTTTGGGTGACAGTAAGATACATCCACACAGGTCACTCCCAACTCTCTTCTTTCCCCTTTAGTACAGAGTGCTCTCAAAAGGATGTCATCTACTCCCAGCCCTCCAAGCTCTTCACCTAAATGCTGGGACCTGGTGTCTTTAAGGCTTCCAGCAAGTGACAGGATAGAAAAACACTCGTGTTCAGGACTTGAAAGCCCCAGAAGATAAATGACTATTCTATTCTGCTGCAGTCTTTGAAGATATCTTCTAATCTGAGTCCCTTACTTTATATTTTATCCATAAATTTGTCCCCAGAGGTGGTTTCCTATCTTGGAAATGGGGGTGGGGTGCAGGGCTTGAATTCCGGTCCTCTCCAATTCTGGGTCTAGATTTGCCCGGGTGGCCCAAGGGACAGCCCTTTTAAAATGGGGATGGGGGTGGGGATGGCAGTGGCTCGACCTCTCCAGCAATAGTCATTAGTCACTGCGCAATCTTGCCGGGAGGCGAGGCCCACCTGTCGGATCTGGTTAGGTTCCCGCCCGCCCCGGGGCGTAAGCATCTGATGTAAGTTTGGGTCCCTATTCCATCAGGATCCCAGTGTTCCAGACTGATGAACTTTTTAAGAAATAAAGGTCGACACCGTCTGAACCTCCTCCCATCCTCGGCAATCACTATGTTTCCGAGTACCGCCGTCAGGCCAGATTTCCTGTGGCCCCGCCTGAATGACGAAACAGGGGATAGCAATTGCACTCCCGGGCTTTTCCAGAGATCTAGGTCCTCGGTCCTGATGCAACTCTCTGGGTCTTTTACACAAAGCACTTTAGCAGGAGGGGCGCTAGGACCCGGCGGAAGCCCGGGGGCTCTCGGCCGCAGCGAGCTGGGGAGTCACCAGCGCACCGCGGACATCTATTGGGATGGTGGGTGGGTCAGTGTGTCTATTTGATATGGGTCCCTGTTCTCAGCCCCAGGACCAGGCGCTGGGAACCCGAGCCCATCAACACTCTAATAACCACCCTCCCCAATCCCTCTCCTTGGGAGCAGTTGGGAGATAGGAGCGGACACGATTTGGGGGCCAGGAGCATATGGGGGGCACGGACTCCTTCATTAACCTATCCCCTCAGGCTGTAGTGTATCAGGCGGGTGGACAGGTGGGCTGCTCGGTGTCCAGAGCTGCCCAGTCTTTGGACTCCAAATCTATATCTGGATCCTTCAGGGATACGTGCGCGAGGGCCGGCCGGGTTAACGTCTGCTCCCCGCGCCTCCTCACAGTCATCCACTGTGCGCCCAGCTGTGCCCTTAGCTCACAGGCTCCTAGGTGCTGGGGGCAACCGCTTTAAACTCCTGCCCGACGCTTCCTCAAGTTCCCCGGCCTCTACTACCTCGCGGACATGGGCTACCCCCTCCCCCAGCAACACGACCCTATAATAAACAAGCCTTCCTTGATCCTCCCCTGCCGCAAGCGCCCTCGGGGACTTTGGCAGCTGCAGCTGCCGCGGATCCCTTCCAGAAAGGGGGCGTGGCCACGGCTTGGGGTTCGGCAGGGAGCGTTCTGGGGCTCAACGGGGGCGGGTCCAGGCCGCTGTCACCGGGCAGGAGAGAACGTTGCGAACGTGCGCCTGGAGCCTATTGGCCGAGGTGGGCCACACTCCCGGGTCTGGATTGGGCTGCAGCGCAAAAGGGGCGTGGCTCCTCCGAGCTAGTCCTTATAGGTCTCGCCGCGCTGGTGCTAGGGACCGCAGCAAGACAAGGGGGGAGGTGCGGGTCGGTAGAAGAGACAAGTCTGGGCAGCGCTCGGGAGTTGGCACCAGTTCGCGCACCCATTCAAGCGGCACTTCTCCTAGCAGTTCTCGCTGACGCGCTAGCTGGTGAGTGTCTCTTCCCTGTGTGTTAATCCCTGCGCCGGGAGGCCTCAGCCGTGAGGGTCCTAGCGTTCGCAGTCTGGTCCAACCCACAGACTGACGCCAGGTCCGTGCCCTTCTTGTCTTGCAGCGTCTTCTGCTTTCCCGCACCCTGAGCTCATCTGCAGACGTCCTGGTGTCGGTCCTCACCATGCCTAGCCTTTGGGATCGCTTCTCGTCGTCGTCCTCTTCGTCCTCGTCCTTGTCCCGAACTCCCACCCCAGATCAGCCACCGCGCTCAGCCTGGAGGTCGGCGGCCAGAGAAGAGGGCCTCGGCCGCTGCGCGAGCCTGGAGAGCTCGGACTGCGAGTCCCTGGACAGCAGCAACAGTGGCTTTGGGCCGGAGGAAGGTAAGCTGTGGGCGGGGGCAGGACGCGACTCGGGCCGGGGAGGTGAGAGGAAAGCCGCGCTGTAAGGAGTCAAAACCAGCTTGGCTTCCTATCCCGTCAGAACCCAGATTGCGGAGGGGTAGAGGAGCCGGGGGCGGAGGGGGAATTGTAGGGTACGAGCCTGAGACAGAAACTGAGGCACGGAGTGGGAAATGAGTGCTGGTTTCTTTGCGAAACAGCATCTCCCTCTTTCAGAGCTGCTCTTACATCCTTCCCCGTGTGCTCTTCCTCCTAGACGCAGCATACTTGGATGGGGTGTCCCTGCCCGACTTCGAGCTGCTCAGCGACCCTGAGGACGAGCACCTGTGTGCCAACCTCATGCAGCTGCTACAAGATAGCCTGGCCCAGGCGCGGCTGGGCTCGCGGCGCCCGGCGCGCCTGTTGATGCCCAGCCAGCTGGTGAGCCAGGTGGGCAAAGAACTACTGCGCCTGTCCTACACTGAGCCATGCGGCCTGCGGGGGGCGCTGCTTGACGTCTGCGTAGAACAGGGCAAGAGCTGCCACAGCGTAGGCCAGCTGGCCCTCGACCCCAGCCTGGTGCCCACTTTCCAGCTGACCCTCGTGCTGCGCCTGGACTCACGCCTCTGGCCCAAGATCCAGGGGCTGTTTAGCTCCGCCAACTCTCCTTTCGTCCCTGGCTTCAGCCAGTCCCTGACGCTGAGCACTGGCTTCCGAGTCATCAAAAAGAAGCTGTACAGCTCCGAGCAGCTGCTCATTGAGGAGTGTTGAACTTGGGCCTGGGGGGAGGGGCTGACACTGCCCCCGCAGCAGAGACAACTTTGGGGTGGACATTGGCAGGTAGGAGCTAAGGGACTGATGCCTGTCCTTATAATACTGACAATAGCCACCTGAGGGGAAGAAGGTTGAGGTGGAAAGTGTTTTCTGGGAAGTTCACTGAGGTGTGTGCAGGTGGCTTCCTGTTGGGGGCACACGCTTGTCTCTCAGTACTGTAGCATGAAACAAAGGTTTAGGGGCCAACCAGGCTTTCTGGCTGGATGTGTATGTAGCATGTTCTTTATTATTTTTATTGTTACTGACAGTTAAGACAACAGTGGTCTGACAGCCAGGAGAGCAGCTGGGCTGCACTGGCCTCTGCAAGCTGTGTGTGCTCATGGTAGCCGGCCCTGGTGGGGGGTGGGGGTGGGGGTCATGGAGGTGTTTTGTGTGTATTTCATGGTCTGAAGGGGCCAAATGTGTTTGTACTTTTTTTTGGCATCTTTTGTGTTTTTTGTTTTTTTGTTTTTTGTTTTGTTTTATTTTTGATTGGAGCTTCACTACTGACCTGTTCTAGGCAGCTATCTTACAGACTCATGAATGTAAGAGTAGGAAGGGGTAGGTGTTGGGATCACTTTGGAGGATCTTTGACACTTGAAGAAAATACACCTGGGAGCTGCGTTTGGCCCATCCCCCCCACTGTACTGAAGAGTTTATCTGTGAGGGGTAGGGCTGATGGGGTGGGGGCTGGAACCCCTCACCCAGAGGAGTGCCATCTGGGTCTTCCATCTAGAACTGTTTACATGAAGATACTCTGTTCATGAATACACTTGATGTTCAAGTATTAAGACCTATGCAATATTTTTTACTTTTCTAATAAAAAATGTTTGTTAAAAACGGTTGAGTCTCATTAGTGCCGTGAAATAAAAGGGAGTGAGATGGGTGCTGGTAAAAGGTGAGTTTCATCAGATTCAGGTCAACCTGTGTGTTTATCCCTTTCCGATGCTCCCTGTCAGCTTGGTAATGGAGGTATGTAGATTGTGTGCCATCTGTGCCATGAAGTCTGGCTCCCTTAGCTCTGTGCTGGTTGAGGCTACCAAGGGAAAGTGCTAGAAAGCCTTGGAAGGTAAGGAGTGTGTCGGATCTCCCACAGAACCAGTCTCAGTAGGGAGAGCTCGCTCACCTGGCTGCCCTGGGTTTGGAGGCTTAGGCACAAGGGCCCCCTAAGCCCAAGGTCCTTACAGGCACTGGAAGGACCGCAAGAGGCACTCTTCTGTGAAAATTACAAATTTTCTGTAATTTTCTGCAGTCATGAAAATTACAAATTTCATCTGTGGATATAAAAAGACTAGAGAGCAGGATCACCAAGAAATGGATTTTGAAAAGGATTACTTCTCAAGCCTCTCACTAGACAAGGAACCTAGGGCTCAGGAGAACGACCAACTGCTGGGAGGTATGGTCTAAGCAGGTGGCAGAATGTATAACATGGACGCATGTACGTGGAGATGAAGGAGTGAGGGCTTAGAAAGCAAAGGAATTGCAGGTGTGTCTTCATGAATACCCTGGGTGACCTGGACTCATTGCACTCTTTGGGCCCCAATTCCCTTATCAGCAGAATTGTGGTAGGGTTAAACGAAGGCCAAGGCCCTTCCCACTTTTCTCTCCCTGTGATTCTCTATTCTGGCCTTTGGAGAATTCTCTCCCTTGTTTCTCTTCCTGGTCTCAGATAGGCCTTGTTTGCCCTGCTATAAAACAGTAGTTCTTCCAGTTGAGTGTGCAGTCAAATCTCTTGGGCCCCCTGGGCACTGGTGCATTCTGACAGTGCATCTGGAGCAGGGCCCCAGGAGTCTGCATTTTCATCAGATTCTGACACAAGGTCTTGAACTTTGGGATGGTTTAAAAGACTCACATCTCTTTGGTAGAACCGAGTGACTTGTTCCCTACAATGAGTGAACTTAAGTTAGAACTAGATTTGAAAATGGTTATAGCAAATGAGAAGATGTCCAGAGCAGTTTTAGGAGAGCCCTCACATTTTCTGAGCACATCCTCCTAATAGCCATCCTGTGAGAGGTGGATCAGGCAAGGGTTTATAATGTTTTACAGATTAGTAAACAGAAGCTCAGGCCCTTGAATGACCATCTTCTGACTATGGCTGACCTTGTCCACTCAGCCCCTCAGGCTGGGAGCTGGGAGTGAAGCCAGCTCAACATTTGAGTGGTGTCTGAGGGGCACTTTCCCAGGAATTGAGATCAGCGCCAATGGTCATGGCTATGCTTTCCTGTCCCCAAGAGAGGAGCGAGGAAAACAACTGTGTATAGCTCCAGAACAGAGTCTTGTTGGTATTTGGAGATTGGATGGCACATTAAGTATTAACCCCACTTCCGGACCAGAAGGCAGCAAGCACATTCAGCTTCTTTTCTTAGATGGTCAGACTGTGGCTAGAGGAAAGCTTGGGTTCCCAAAAAAGCTCAACTGAGACACCCTCTCCTGAAGCCAGGTGGGCTTTCTTCATTCTCACGGAGCTTGAAGATCCCCACAAGCAGAATCGAAGGGCCCCTAGGTGGGAGCTCTTAGGCTTCCTAAGATGCGGCAGGGAGCTTTGCCTCAGACATTGGGCTCTTAAGGAGAACACGAGGCCGGCTCCTTCGTTGCAAAGGCTGAAACCCAACTTTGGAAAATGCTTTCAGAAAACGTTTCATTTGGCCTATAAAATTTGTACTGATTACCTCCCTTAGTATAGAATTCCCTCCCCTTATTTCTATTTTCCACCTCATCAGGATACTGCTCTAGAACCTGAAGTAGTTCCCTATTTTCAGATTCCACTGCCTGCCTCTCAAAACTTTTGGTATTGGGCTCTATTCACCCTACCCAGGCTGACTGCCCACCGCTCCCTACCACTTCACTACTTCTTTTGGTACAGGTCAGTGTGGCCTGCCCCCTTCTCTAATCCTGCAGAATGAACTCTGCTCATTCCATTGCCCTCTACCAGGGATGTCCTGCCTGCGAAGCCTGCCCTTTCTTTAAGGCCCAGAGTAAGTTCTAGCCCATTTATGACTCTCCTCTGCCTCCCCTTAACTCACCATCCACAACTGCAGTTTTCTGATCTCATTGTATGCACTTGTTTTGTATCTACTCAGTTCTGTGGGACACCCCTGGGTTCCCCTCAGGCCTGGCTGTCTGACTCTTGATCATCTGCCTCTCCTTGGCTCAGACAACACAGATTCTCCCACCAGCCTCAGACTCTCAGGCTAAGAAGAGAGGAGGACAGGGTAGGAACACTTCATTGTTTTATTATGCCTGCTGCCTAGTGTAGAGGAACATATAGGCTGAGGTCCTAGAAGGGAGGTAGGGTCCTTGTGATTAAGGCCATTATGCAGTAGAGATAGTGAAATCTGGGTTCGAATCCTGGCTCAGACATTTCTTAGCCGATGACCTTGAGCAAATCGCTTTCAGTTTCCTCATCTGTAAAACGAGGACAATAGTGAGGAAGCCAGTGGCTGGGCAAGAGATGGGGGGCTTGAGCTGTGGGGGAGCTGGCTGCAGATCAAGTGCCCTGCACACTAGGGACCACCTTTGACTTCTTTCCCCTCTGGTCCTGCTTTCCTCTAACATCTTTTCAGAAGTCGCCGTCTTAATAGCAGTCATGTCATCATCTAACCTCAGTAAATGCTTGTAAAAATATATTATTTGGGGTCAATATGCTCAGACAGCTTCACTCCTAAGCTGTATTCTTCTAAGCCTGGAACGTATCAGCACCCTATATAAGGTTCCTTTAATTCTACCTCATGGTTCAGAAGGAAATTCAAAGGCCCAGAGTGGTTTAGTGGGTGCGGCTGCAGTGCTAGGATGGTACGTGTGGCCTAATACCTCCCAGGCCTTCCACTCAACCCCCTGAGCTTTGTTACCTTGTGCCCAGGTCAGCCACATCCTGCTCTTGCTGCCAGAGGTGGCCAAGTGCTGGTGGGGCAGCCCAGCAGAAGGCTGAGGAAACATGAAGCACAGAATCCAGGCTCAATTAATAGATTATTATAGTACTCCGTAATTATTCTGAAATGGGGGCTCTTTATGAAGGAATCACAAATTAGAAAACAGTCCATTAAACCCAGACATGTCCATGCAGAGGCTCAGCTGAGGAGTCTCCATCTCAATCCCAATAAGCAGCAGCATGGCAACATCTGTGGCCACATGGTACTGATGTCTGAAGGCAGACACTCATGGACTGGTTACTGTATTCATCCATTCAACCTATATATAATTAAATGGGTCCATGGGGCTGTAGAGAAAGCCAGAGTAAGTGGGAACCCTTAAGAAGACAATTCCTTCTCTTTTTCTCTCTCCCTCTCTCACATTTATAAGCAAAATTGTGGAGCATAACGAGAGGAGAAAATGGGCACACACCCAATCTTTCCTATCCCTAACTTTCCAGGAAAAAATATCTAAAACTATAGAAAGATTAAAAGTATATAAGATAAAAGTAATTAAACTGTATACTTATAATTGGCAAATTTTATTGAAGAGCTAAACTATGAAACTCTTAGAAGAAAATATAAGAGTAAATCTTCATGATCTTGGCTTAGGCAATGATTTCTTAGATATGACACCAAAAGAACAAGTGATAAATGGGAAGATCAACAAGTTGGACTTTATAAAAATTAAAAATATTTGTGCTTCAAAGGATACAACCAAGAGAGTAAAAAGGCAACCCACAGACTGGGAGAAAGTATTCTGCGTAATGCATATTGATAAATGATTTGCATCTAGAATGTGTAAAGAACTCATAACTCAATTTAAAAAATGAGCAAAGGATCTGAACGGATATTTCTCCAAAGATGATGTACAAATGACCTATAAGCCATCTTTATGGAAAGATGTTTAACATTATTGGTCATTAGGGAAATGTAAATCAACTTTCAATAGGATACCATTTCAAACCACCAGAAGGCCTATAATCAAAGAGAGAAATAATATCAAATGTTGGCAAGGATGCAGAGAAACTAGAACCCTCCTACGTTGCTAGAGGGATTGTAAAATGGTACAGCCACTTTGGAAAAACAGTTTGGCAGTTCCTCGTAATGGTAAACATAGAGTTAGTTACCATATGACCCAACAATTTCACCTCTAGATATATACCCAAAAGAAATGAAAACAGATGTCTACATAAAAACTTACATATGAATATTCATAGCAGCATTATTCATATCAAAGTGGAAACAACTAAAAGTCTATCAACAAATGAATAGATAAACAAAATGTGGTATATCCATACAATGGAATATGATTCAATAGAAAAAAATGAAGTACTGATACATGCTGCAACATGGAAGGACCTCTAAAACACGCTAAGTGAAAGAAGCAAGCCACAAAAGGCCACTTATTGTAGGATTACATTTATATGAAATGTCCAGAATAGACAAATTATAAAGATAAGGTAGATTAGTGATTGATTAGACCTCGAGGGAGTGGAGGAGGCTGTTAATGGGTACAGGGTTTCTTTTAGGGGGTGATAAAAATATTCTAAAATTGATTGTGGTGATGGTTGCAGAATTCTGTAAATGCACTAAAATCATTCAATTATATACTTTTCAGGGTGAAATTTATAGCATAAATTATATCAATAAAGTTATTTTTTACAATACACATTTTTCAAAATTCTTAGAATTGTACACCTAAAAAAGAGTTCATTTTCCTGTATGCAAATTATACCTCAATTTAAAAAAGTGTTTTAACACACATATGATATATAAAATGAGCTCTAGAAGTTTTAAAACATAAATTGTGGCTCCATAATTAAATATGGTAATTTTAAAATCATATGTAAATATGTAAATAAATATGATAAATATGGTAAATTTTTCACTAAGAAAAGGAAAGCAAAAGAAAAGTCATGAACATTTTGGGT